TTTCCATTCTGGGATAGGCAATGGTTGTAAAAGTCCTGCTATTTTCTGACGAACTGGCTTTACTTGCTGACAGATAAGACATTTGGATACAAAATCTGCTATCTCTCTCTTCATACCAAGCCACCAATAATGATCTTTCAATATATGATACATTTTAATACTGCCTGGATGCATAGCATAAGTAGAACTGTGTGCTTCTTCCAAAATCTCTTTCTTCAATTCTGGAATATCTGGAACACATAATCTATTACCCATAGCCAACGCCCCATCATCTCTAATCACATAATCCGTTCTTAACCCAGTACTGACTTCTGCTTTCAATATTCTCAATGTCTGGTCTTGAGATTGAGCTCTCTAACCTTATCAATCAAAGTAGGCCTCACCTGGAAATGAGCTAATACAGCCCCTGAAGTAGTAGTTGTCAACTCAGTGTTAACTTCTTGAACTCACAAATCAAAGAAGCATAAACTGCACTAGATGGAGAGAATGAACTTGTCTTTCTACTGAGAGCATCTGCAACTACATTAGCTTTCCCTGGATGGTAGTCAATCTTACAATCAGAATCCTTTATCAACTCCAGCCATCTCCTTTGCCTTAGATTCAGTTCTTTCTGATCAAATATATACTTTAAACTTTTGTGATCAGTAAATATTTGACATTTCTCACCATAAAGATAATGTCTCCAAGTGTTCAATGCCAACACTACTGCAGCTTACTCCAAATCATGAGTTGGGTAATTTAACTCATGCTTCTTCAATTGTCTAGAAATATAATCTACAACTTTCCCATTCTACATTAAAACACAACCCAATCCTTAACGTGAAGCATCACTATAAATCACAAACTCTTCACCTGGAGATGGAAGAGTAAGTATAGGAGCAGAAACTAATCTTTTCTTCAACTCTTGAAAACTCTTTTCACATTCATCAGTCCACACAAATTTGGAGTTCTTTTGAGTTAAACTAGTCAAAGAAAGAACAATTTTGGAAAAATCCTCTACAAATCGATGATAATAACCTGCTGACCCAAGAAAACTCCGTACTTCTGTAACATTAGTAGGGCGTTCCCATTTCGTTACTGCTTCAATTTTCAGAGGATCTACATAAATACCTTCAGCTAAGATAACATTACGCAAAAATACAACTTTATCCAGCCAAAATTCACATTTGCTGAACTTAGCATACAACTGCTTATCTCGCAAAGTCTACAAAATAATCCTCAAATGCTCAGCATGCTCATCTCTACTGCAAGAATAAACTAAAATATCATCAATAAAAACAATCACAAATCTATCTAAATATGGGCGAAGCACTCTATTAATCAAGTCCATAAACGCTGCAGGGGCATTAGTCAACCTAAATGGCATTACCAAAAACTCATAATGGCCATACCGTGACCTAAAAGCAATTTTTGGTACATCAATATCTCTAATTCTGAGCTGATGATACCCTGAACGTAAATCAATCTTTGAAAATACTGAGACACCTCTAAGTTGGTCAAACAAATCGTCAATGCGAGGCAACCAATACTTGTTGCAGACTATCACTTTATTCAACTGTTTATAGTCAATACACAATCTCATTGTGCTATCTTTCTTCTTCACAAACAAGACTGGAGCTCCCCATGGAGATACACTGGGTCTAATGAAACCCTTGTCAACTAAATCCTGCAACTGAACTTTCAATTCCTTCAGCTCTGCTGGAGCCATTCTGTAAGGTGATTGTGAAATAGGGGTAGTCCCTGGAATCAAATCAATAGTAAACTCGATTTTCCTATCAGGAGGTAACCTGAAAGATCTTCAGGAAAAACATCAGGGAAATCTTTTACCACCGGTATATCTTCAAGTTTCAATTTAGTGATCTGGGTGTCAATCATAAGAGCTAAATATGCTTGACAACCTTCTCTAAGTAATCTCCCAGCATCAAGTGCTGATATAATACACAAAGGTAGTATTCTCCGTTCACCACTAAAAACAATTTCATGCTCTCCTGACCTTTGAAACACCACTTCTTTGTGAAAACAATCAACTGATGCATGATTTACAGACAAAAAATCCATGCCCAATATCACATCAAAATCATGAATATCAAGTAGAATTAAATTAGCTTTCAACTCATGATCATTCACTCTAATCACGCAATCTTTGTATACACTGTTAGCTAAAAGTGAATCTCCTACAGGAGTTGGTACCACCAAATCACTATCTAATGATTCTGACATATGGTCTACATAAATAGCAAATGCATAAGATATAAATGAATGTGTAGCACCTGAATCTATTAAAGAACGGGCCTTTTGCCAAAAATAGATAACGTACCCATAACCACATCTGGTGATTCGTCGGCATCATTCTGAGTCACTGCAAACACTCTTCCCTGAGTTCTGGGTCTCCAGCTTGGCCTTTCTGTCTAGTACCACTGCTGCCAGCAGCATCAGACTGAGTAGCACCTGCTTTGCCTACCAAAGTATATAGATTCTGATTCTGTCTAGAAATGCCAGCACCCGACTGTAAAGAAACCCCCTGTGGTATGCTACCCTGCTGGAAATGAATTGGACACTCTCTCCTCATGTGTCCTGTCTGACCACAATGATAACACATTCCAATTCCCTTAAGACACTCACCAAGGTGAAATTTCCCGCACGACTGGCATTGGGAAAATCTGGCCACACCAGAGCTATCACTGTGTCCAGGAGTAAATGATCTTTGAGAAGATCTCTGAGTCTGAGTACGGTTACTCCCTGGCTGCTGTACTGATCCCTGACTCGACCTCGAGCCCTGACTGCCATGAGATATGGACTTAAAACTACCAGAAGTGGAAACACCTAATCCACCTCCTCTGCGATCCCTCCTCGGTGGCCTAGTCATAGATCTTCCTGCCCATGTCTGACTACTGCTTTCAATTCTTGGTCTCATTTGTTGTTGACCACCATGTCATTCAGACAAACTTTTCTCAACCCTTAATGCTACTTTTACAAGTTTACCCAAATTTTCATACCCAGACGCAGTGACCACTGATCTAATTTCTTCTCTCAGGCTATACTCAAATCTTCTGCATTTATCAACTTCATCAGCTACAAGAGCAGTAGCATACTTTGATAATTCTAGAAATTTCTTCTGATACTCCGCCACTGTTGATGTCTGTACTAGTCTTAAAAATTCATTCTGTTTGTCATAAGAACGAGGGTAAAAATGCTCCTTAAAATCATCTTTAAACTCGCCCCACGTGATCACAGAAGGATCAACATATTTACTCTGTACGGACCTCTACCAATCATAAGCACTTCCTTCTAACAAGAAAGTAGCTACTCGTAATTTTCGATCATCAGGACAATCCATCACATCAAATATTCTTTCAATCCTCACCATCCATGATTTTGCTTCTACTGGATCAGCTGTGCCTGAAAATACTTTAGCTCCTAATTTAGTAGCCCGCTCTATATTACAATCTTTATCTGTATTGCGTAGAGCAGAAGCAACAGCGGTGGCAATCCTATCAGCTATTAAGTCAGGCTGGGCTACATCCCCATATCTCCGCTGATCATGGGTCGGATGAACTGATTCCTCGACCCTACTGGCATCCTTATCAGGAGTAGCTGGTGGTTGAGACGACATATCTTATAGCCTGCGTATCTTATTACCACGAGCCATGACTTCCAACTACAAAATATGTATGATATAATGAGAACAAAAATCAAATAAACCATGCGAACTAACTTTATAACCCTGCTCTGATACCAATTGACACGACCCGTCCCGAATCACCCTAATAGATCCGCCACGTGTCGTGCGCCGATGGTAGATACCAGCGAAGTGCTGACCTACCACCAAGGCAAACTTGACATGCTTTGACTATTATAATTGTATAAAAATTTTGATAGAGTTCCCTCTGAAAAATGGACTAAAACCACCTGAAAATAAAATCAAATATCCCAAACATGTACATATAGTTTAAAATAGGATACACTGGCCCACAGAATATCAACTATTCAAATACAACCCTGGCAATTCGACTTTTGCAACAATTTATAAGCCACAGTACCCAAAATGCATAATATATATACAAAACATAGCTAGCCCAACACATGGAACTAATTTCTGACCAAAAGAGGTGTCTATCCCAAAATATGAACTATTAAACTGAAAATATGATTTATACAATGCTTGACAATCTATGGCTCAACTCAGTAGATTCACTGGCCCAGTAGTGCTCAACTCAGCTACTATCTGATAAGAGAAATAGTGATAAAAATGTGAGCATATAACTCATTGAGTGGATATTTCGTAAAAGTATACTTTTCCATTCATAAAAATCTTTCTGAAAACCGACATATAGCATAAAATTTCTTTTCACAGACATATAAACTAAAATATTTACTCTGTATTCTGCATTTCTAAAATCTAATAAGCTATGCAATACTAAAACATCACACCAAAAATGTACCCGGAATAACTATACTCGTGTATCGATTAATCTCGATATACATAGCAAGGTTATTCAATTCTGAAATTCTGTAATTCAATAATTCTGAAATTCTATACTTTTGTAATTCTGGTCGTACGCGCGCAGAGCTATAAAATGGTTATACACTATGGAAACACATTCATAATAGTGCAGAGCGGGTAAAATCACTATACTAATCACACGCTGTGGAAACACATTCACACCAACACAGAGTGGGTAAAATAAACATATGAAGTCATACACTGTGAAAACACATTCACACCAGTGCAAACGAGGGTAAAATCACTTGGGTACTTTCTGGTGATTTTTAGAAAATAACTTTAAATATGTTGAAACATTTAATACTCATATAATATGCTAATAAAATAATTTACTAAATTGAATTTAACTTTTAAAAACAATTGGTTATAAATCAACTTTATTCTGAAAATCGTGTTTTCAAATCAACTGTATGAATTAATAAATTTTTTGAGTTAATATAAATTAAATAAATACTAATTTCTGAAAAATAAGCTTATCACATAATACAAGCTGAACCTAAGAAGCTGAATCTAAGATGGTCGATGGTCGATAGGCTCTTCCAATCTCCTCGTCATCGCCTGGAATACATAACAAGATGACTAATCAACTACTATTAAATTAAGAAACTTTAAGATCTACTTCTATAATACTTAACTAAAATTGGTCGATGCTCGAATGAATTTCCCAAATATTCTTTTGATCACTTGGAACTAATCCCACTTTCTAATCCCTTTTCTAATAACTAATTCATCAACAAAACCTTCTTCCAAGGTTTAAAACTAAGTTACTCTCCAATCTAGTAAAACTAGTAACCATAATTCCACCCATTTAATATACATTTTGTTCCATAAAATCAACTCAGAAGTGAAAATTCCATATATATAATCATTTCCACAATTAATTAATCAAAAATTCGAAATCGAATTCTAGAGTTTTCCCAAAAATTTTACTGCCTACCTTGCTGAAACTGAAACTTAATTAATCCACAAACTTGAGCTCCAAATCGTACATATATCATCTGAATTTGATATTTATTACTACAAGTTAAAACACTAAAAATTTTAACATAAATCGTACTTCATCACTTGAAACAAATGAAAAAATTCAACCCAAACTTGAAGAGATTAACCTTACCTCACTTCATCTTCTTCCTTCTTTCTCTTTTTCTTCTCTTTTTTCCTTAGTTTTCTTCCTTTTTTTTCTTCCTTTTTTTTCGGTCTCTAGCCTCTGCCCCTTTTTTCACTGTGTGTGTGTGTTTTTTTGAGTGAAAATGGGTTAATTCTAGTGATTTAATGGTCCACTTGCCCAAAATTGCAAAATAAGTCCTTCAACTCTCTTTTTGAATGATATTTAATCCTATAAATTCCAAAAATATATAAGTAAATTCCTAACTTTAAAATGTATCCAATTTAACCTTCATATTTTGCCAATTGCAAAAAAGACCCAAATAAAATATTTAATTTCATTCTAATCCTTAATTGACTTGACTTTGAAAATCCCACTATTGACTTTGACTAGATAAAAATGTGGGTTGTAACATTTTAAATACGTAAATTTTAAATAAATAAGTTTGCCAATTCCTATCTGATAGTACCAGGCGAGGTAGTTTAACAGTACCGTCTTCTAGAGTGCCTTTGAAGACCTCGCCAAATCCCCCGGAGCCAAGCAGGTTTTCTTTGGAGAAGTCATTGGTTGCTTTCTTGTTATCTTTTCCAGTGAAAATCTTTGCTGATTTTCCACTGCTATTCACATTCAAGATTTCTTCGCTCTCCTTGATTAATACATTTCAAGCTACTCTCTTGGTGTAACGACGCTGTCTGAATATTAGAAATTCGCTCAAGGCAACAAGCAGAAACACACCCGCCATGGCTGTGAGACATGGACGTAATTATCCAAATAAATGTCGATTTAGGCTCTCCAATACTTTTTGAAACTAATTTTAGTTGAGATTGTGCAATTACTATGCAAGAAATTTTCTTATGTTCCAGGATTGTACTGTTCTATATAATTATAAGCAAAAATTTGAATACTTATGAAGTTGTAAAGGAAAGAAATGCACTGAACAAACTATAGTACTTACATCCAATGTCGACACTGGTGTCTTGAATACTGGTGTCTTGATCTTGTAGTATTTGCAGCCTGTTCCATGTCGACACTCTGCAAACCGAGTTAAGAGTGATATTAATAACGAATATATTCTTACCGTTTGTTTCAGAGAGTTTTTTCTGAAAAAAGAATTTCCAACTACATATTTTATGGGAATCATAACTTTTCTTTACTTTTTAATTATACATTTTCCAAAAAACCATTTTTTTTTTACCTAAAACGTCTCTCCACAAACAAACGCCTAATTATTTAATTTTCTTGAGCTAATACAAATTATTTAAAATTCTTGGGACCGATGAAAGAGATTTATATACGGTATACAACGTTGTCCTTGATTTCAGCAACATTGTAGAATAATTTATTAATGTATTAGGAAAATTAATGCTTTGTCCTTTGAGCTTAGTATTAGGGGTTGTACCCAATATATTACGCGAGCTGGTTTACATTCTAGCTAGGATGGAAAGTGAAGCACTCGTCCCACTTGTGAAATGTGATTTTTTTGATAAAATGAGTTTGATGAAAAATGATTTTTGTAAAAAAACCAAAACCAAACGAGGACAAATACCATTACTCACTTTGACAATATCCGGTGGCTGGATCCCAGTATCGACCTTTCTTGCAAAAGCACCTCTTTTGTCTAGCATCTGTGGGATCTGACAAGTACTTAGAGAACTGCAAATCACGGCAATCTACTTGCGTTTTGCGAATCGGCTCCAACGGTGTAGACCACATAAGCTCCAACCCTTGCACCGGCCACTTTGCAAATGGCAAAGAAGGATCCAAATTCACATAACTCTGATACGCCATGCACCCATTCGGATGTACCGTTATAAATAAATAGGCATTCTGAGAACCCCCATTTCTAAAAGAACAACAAAGCGTCACCCTGTTGCATGCAGCGGCTGCCGGAGTGTTATTAATATAAGTATGGCAAAGGCAATTCGAGGAAAAATTTATAGGCACTTGCGGGTGGAGCATATTATCAGTACAATTCAACAGTTGAGTTGTGTTGCTACTAGTGATGTTGAATGGGCGTGAATCATCCAATTGAATGCCTTGGCTTTGAAAATTTTGTGATAGGCAAGTCCTTGGATATACAGATGGGGGTTGGACGATCATTCTCTGGGCTTGTGAATTGATGGATGTGATGTTGGGAATCTACTTAACATGCGCAGCGAAAAATTAAAACAAATTTCAATTCCCACCAGGATTCATCTTTGTGTTTAGATAGAAACTGTGATAAAGATGTATCTTTTACAAAATCTGCAAACTCCTTTACTATATCTTTGTTCCAGCAACTTGGATCTGTTTTCCACGGTTGTTCAATTTTCCAGCCTCCAACGATAATCCACATAGAGAACAAGATTGTAGGATTATGAATTCCTTCTCGTGCTAGCAAGAATAATGAATTCACTCTAGATTTGTAAACCCTAATAACTTATTTATATGACCAAAACGGGCCTGGTCTGACCCGGTCCAATATTTAATTAACTCATTTAATTAAATTCGGTCCGTAAATTAATTAATCAAATAAATTAATTCAAACCTACAAATAAGCAACACAGTTAATTAATTTATCCAATACTTATTAAATTAATTAATTAATTGATAAATTACAATCTTCCAATTCTCTTTTGTGTGCGACCCATCAGGTTTTCGATCACGATGCCTAATGACGTGAAATATTATTTTGATCCAATCAAAATTGATAAATTAAAACACCATTTTAATTTATCACCAATTCACACTCGCCGTCCCAGATTGACATCTAGCAATGTGTCAGGGCAATACATGTGACAGAAAATGTTATGTGGTATGACAAAATCAAACTCGTTCGTTTACCATGAAACTATAATCCTTTCGTCAGTATGATCCGATCAATTTATGAGATATGGAAATGTGTTAATCTCGATTACTGATAATATCTTTCACTCCACTATTAAGTCAATATAAGTCGAAAACTCCTTTTTGACTTATGAGTACACCTTGGCCAATGATTTCGTTATCGACTTAATTGAATGAAACGCAAATCATAATCTCTTACTATCTAAGAGTGACGAATCCTCTATTAGTCATTCACAATCTTTATACAATTCTTGACATACCCAAACGAGCCATATTAGCGGCCCTCGGCAGAACAACATCCAACACTGTCAAAGTATGACTGTCCTCATATAAGGTACCATGACGACTTCAAATCAAAGGACCAATTCTACTATCGAATGTTAGAGATTAACCACTGACACTCAAATAGTTATCCATGGAGAATCTCTCGGTGGGTCTCCAATGTTTTGTTCTATAACAAAACATCCACGTATTCATTTAAGTGTCACAACACTTTAACTTATGAGATCAGCTACTTGCTTCACAAGTAAGAAATGCTACACGTGATGGTCTATCCGTAATAACGATATTCATATCTCGTTATTACTTATGACCACAGAAGATTTAAAATTCAACATATGTAATTTGTATCTCACAATCACAACTCCTTGTAATTAACAAATTATGAAGATTTGAATCTATGGACTCTATTATTTAATTTCATTATCTATTAATTAAATAATAGATCTGTCATTAAATTGTATTAATTATATATTGAAAGTATTTATATCCAAGGTTGATTGGACCTAGGACATAACTCTTACAAACTCCCACTTGTACTAGATCCAATCACTTATGTATCCAATATCATAAGAGTGCATGACTCTCATGTTTATGCTACGACAACTCTTTGTCAGTGAATTTGCAATATTGTCAAATGTGAAAATTCATTATTCTCTTTAGTCATTTCTATGTATTATCTCTCTGATGAGATTGTACCGCCTTAATACATATTTGGATCATTGATGAGATTTTAGTTCCTTCCCTTGTGCGATAGCTTTATTGTTATCACAATATAATGGCATGTGATCAACAATATTAAGAACTACTCCAAGTTCATTAATGAATATATTGATCCACATTGCAACTCTTTGCTGCTTCTAAAGCAATCATTTATTAGGTTTCCGTTATTGAATCAACGATTGCTTAATGTTTGGAACCTTTGAAACACACCGCTTAAGAGTGAACAAATTTTTCCATATAAAATCTTAAGAAGATTTTATCTATATAGATTGGGATGAGTTAAGTAATCTTCTGGATCTATCTCTATAGATCAGTTGCTTTCCCATATCATTCATGAATAAATCCTTTAACAACCATTATTTCAACGATTGAAATATAGGGATGTCATTTCCTATGTCTTACATATAATATTAGGAATGTGATAATGCTCTCACTATCTTTTTGTAAACACACAGCTCATCTTCAAATTTGATAAAATCAAACATTTTGACTTTTCCATCAAATCGAAGATTTCAGCTCCAAGAGACTTTTTTTAGCCCATAGTCACGGTATGCAATTGTTGTACGCAAAATCCAAATGGACTTCAGCAAGGTTACAGGAGAAAGGTTTTACCAAGGTCAACACTTAACCTTTGCTACTAGCTTTGCTTTGTATGTATGGATATTTCCATCTATATCGACCTTTTCTTTGTAAACCATTTACAAAAACATATGGGTTTTATTCCATTAGGAGGGTCGACCAAGGTCCAATTCTTATTTTCCTGCATTGAGTTTACTTCGGATTCCACGGCTTCATGCCATCTATTTAAGTCAACACTTGACTCTACTTTTGTATAAGTAGTAGGTTCATCATCCTTGATTAATAATACTTGATTAGTAATCGTGGATTCGTATCTTCTTAAAGGTCGAATGATCCTTCTAAATTTAAATGGAGTTGTCATGTCTTCAGGAGTTTCTACTTTCTGATCAAGAGTATGTCCCATATCAGATATGGGATTAAATCTTGATTCATCTACTTGGTTAGCTATATCTGTGGACTATTGAACTCTTTCAAGTTCTATTTTGCTCTCATTGTCCTCTCATAGAATAAACATTTTCTCTAAGAGGATGATGTATCGTGAGACGAAGACTTTCTTCTTAAGGGGATAATAGAATTGATATCCAAATATTTGTTTTGGATATCCCACAAATATGTGTATATCGAATTTAGTCACAAAATTATCCAATTCAATGTGCTTCAAATAAGTGTCACAATCCCAAACTTTCATACGTGACAAATTGAGACTATTGACTTTCCATAGCTCGTATGGAATTGTGTTAACCAACTTAGATGTGACATGATTCAGTGTGTAACACATTGCAATCAGTGCATGACCCCAAAAATGATTTTGAGAGATTTGCATGACTTGTTATTAATTGCACTATATCTAATAGTTAACGATTTCTCCTTTTAGATACACCACTATGTTGCAGTGTATATGGAGGAGTCCATGCAAGAGAATCTCATTCTCTTTTAGATAATCTAAATTTTATCTTTAAGATACTCTCACTTTGATCGGATCTTAATATGAGGGTATCTTTACCGATTTGTTTCCTACTTTTAGTTTGAATCTCTTGAACCTTTCAAGAGTTTCTTGTTTGAATTTCATCAAGTATACATGATCATTGATGAAATTAGAGAAACATTACGTGACTTCAATTGACATAAGTCCATATACATCAGTATGCATTAGACTAGTAATAATACAGACCTTTTCCCTTTCAAATAAAAGGAGATTTGGTCATTGTGCCTAATAAGCATGATTTACACTTTTCAAATTATTCAAAATCAATTGACTCCACATATACATCTCTATGTAATATTAAAATTGCATTTCATCTATATGGCCAAGTCTGTAATGCCAGGTTTAGGTATTATTTAGATTATCACTTTTATACCTTTTAACTTCTATTCTCATTATAGAATGCTTAGTATTTAGAATATAAATGTTAATTGTAACTTACCATACCATAAAGATCTTAATCAAGATAAGCATAAAATTATTCTTTACATTAAAATAGTTCATGTCCAAACATGAAATTCATTTAATGTTTCGGTTATGGTTGGTACAAAGTTACATTTCACTAATTCCAATACTAAGCCTAAAGGCAATGGCAAAAAGTATACTCCTATAGGCAATGTAGCAACTTTTGCTCATCTTCGACATGCAGATCAACTTTTCTATTTTGCAGTGATCTACTTCTATTTAGTTTCTACATATTTGTATAAATATGAGATCAATATCTAGTATCGAATACCTAACAAACTCATGAAGTAGACATAAGCCTTGCAATGTTTCTTCCAATTACCTTTTCATTCTAAAGTGAAACCAAGGGCCCTTAGATTTGGTATTGTCATTTTGGTTTGATGGTCTTAGCCATATTGAATGCTTTCCCAAAGTCTCTTTAGATTTCCTCTTAATATTCTTAGAGAAATCAATGGCTTGCCCATTTTTAGCTTTGATATTGGGCATAACAATTCTAAGCATGTTAACCAACTCAATGGGTGTGCATTCGAACTTGTTCATATCATAATTCATAATTAGTATGAATGACTCTCTGACAGAGATTGCAGAGCTAAGTTAATACTTAGTTCGTAGTTCATGACTGAACCTCACTGAGACAACCTCTCGATGACAATCATCTTTAATACATAAGCACCGATCGAAGATTGCTCTGTCATTTTGCATCGGTATAGTTGTTTGGAAGTCTCTTATCCTTCCACACATGATTATTATCATACAACTCTTTGCAATGAAGAATTATGTGTTAGCATCTATACTTTCAAGTTGCTTTTGTAACTCAGGTGACATGGTTGCAAGCATCATATGTGTGAAGTACTATAGTCATCACTTTGTTTATTACAGTAGCCACCTCTTCCTTAATCGAGTCATCAGCATGTGTCTCTGAAAAATGGCTACTTAAGAACTACCAACTTTCTCATGCCTGAGAACAATTCTCAAATTACAATGCCAATCAAGAAGATTTAATTTGGTTGTTAGCATCCAATATGCCACTCAAATATATGGTTACTCAAGATTCAATATAAATGTAAATGACAAAAAGAAAAAGAATAATATATAAAATGCATCAATTAATTTAACATGAACTTTTATTAATATAATTATGCTCCCACTGTTTAACTCAAATTTATGACATTCTTACATAAATTTATGGAGTCCATACTTGACTCCCAATGGGCTAGGATCTCATATGTTATATTAAGATTTTGAGTGTACTCAACAAGTTTTAATACAATAATTGGGTAGATACTATTATCAATTGTATCTTTATACAACTCCCAAATAATTAAGCCGACAACCCTTTGTCTTCACACATCTTATGTGTTAGTTTAATATGCCTCTAAAATTTATCTCATTGAGTGTACTTAACAAAAGATAAATTTTATTTAAGTCAGACCCATCATTCAGAAATATCAAATATTTTATAGTGTCAAACATATCCCTAATAGATTAGCCTTGAGTGTACTCAACAAGTTATGACGATTTGGGACTCTAGTTTTTCACTATAATGATGGAAGGTGATTAACAAATGTGACTTAATATTTTATTTAGGGGTTTTATATTCAAAAAATCTCATCATAACAATCATATATATTTTATTATACATCTACATGCATATAAACATATATATAACATAATACAATTGTGTGGACGATTATAAACTTTACTATCTAGTCTTTCCGAGCCATAAGGAAGACTAGTTGGTCAATTCCTAGGGGTATCTTGATCAGTATCAATGCACCATCTTCATGATTTCCTCCTCTCCGAGTGTCTTCAATTAGTCTAGCTGCAACCTGTATTCTATACTAGTTGGCACGCAGGCCTAGATAAAATTGAACTCACAGGCCCAAAATAACAATAACAATAACAGACTCCCAAGTCCAAAATGAATAAGAGCTCGTAGACTCATAAAACGACAAGAATAAAATTAACCATTCAACACATCCACATGGTCGAATTCATAATCGTCCACTAATAATACATTCATCACATAAATGTATGCTAATATAATATCTAATATTATATGTAAATACGTTTCAAGTTTCTAGCAATTAAGTTGTCAAAACTATTTTAGACAAAATGGATCGGAACAATTAAATAATTAATTAATCAATTAATTTAATTAGTGGGCATATTTAATTAAAATCGAATTTTAATTAATTACCGAATTAGAGTCCAACTCTAATTCCACAATTATAGGGCGGGATTATTTAATTAAAATCAAATTTTAATTATATATCAAATTAGAGTTCAACTCTAATTTCAAAACTTAAGGCTGTCGAATTTAATCAAAATCAAATTTTAATTAAATAACAAAATTAGAATCCAACTCTAATTCCAAGATTTCAGGGCGAATTTATTTAATTAAAATCATATTATAATTAAATACCAAATTAGAGTCCAACTCTAATTCCAAGAAAAAATTAAGAGCAATACAATTTAATTAAAATCAGATTTTAATTAAATGTCAAATTAGAATCCAATTCTAACTTCTAGAATATATTCGGGTGAATAATTAATTAAAATCGGATTTTAATTAATTACTAAATTAGAGTCTAACCCTAATTTAAATTGAATTAATATTTTAATTTAGGATAACACTCCTAAAATAAATGAAATTCAATTTAGGGTCAAATTTAATATTTAAGTTAAAATCACATTTTAACGAAAATAGAAAAAGTCATCCATTTTAAATAAAATTTTAATTTGGGTCAAAATTAAAATTCTATGTCAAACCCATTAAAATACAATTTTAAAACCATTTTAAAAATTCAAATTCAAAACAATTTCGAAATTTGCAAATTGACCCAAGTTTCAAAATTACAAACAGAGCCCTCCAATTCTTGAAAATGCAATGATGCCCTTCTTTAGAAAATTGCATTTGACCCCTACTTTAAAATTATAAGCAGGACCTTCCAATATCGCAAATTGCAAAACAGATCCTTATTTGAAAATTACAACTTAACCCTAAAATTAAATTGCAGACAAGGGCCTGCAAATTATCAATTTGCAATAGAGGCCCCCGTCTCCAATCATCCTCACCCGTTTTGAAAACCCTAGAATAACTCCATTCCTTCTTCTTTTTAGACGACACTGTCACCTACCCATTGTTAATTTCGCCACGAGACTCCAACGTGCATCGTCACTATCATAACAGGGGCGGTGCGCTGCCAGCACAACAGCCATGAGCTGCTTCTGCATTAGCGTCGCACACTGCTGCTGAAAATAGCAATGCCCAGTGCTGTAGGAAGCGCCGCTGTGGTTGACAGCAGTGAGCCTGCCTCACACGGCCAATGGTGACAAACGTCGGATAAACGATTTTTCAACCGTCGATCGAGTCGCTGCCAACTGTTACACAGATCTAGTAGCAGCAATTGTCGCCTCGATTTTCGATCCACTTTAACCAAAATTATTTTCTTTTCTTAAACTGATTCTTGTAGACAAAATTAATAATAATAATATTCAGAATTGTTAGATCTATGAAAAGTATGAACAATCAACTTTTGACTGTCTGAGATGCAAAGCAATCCCTAACAAACACAACCTGACTCTGATACCACTGTTGGCAATCTACTTAACATATGCCGCGAAAAATTAAAATAAATTTCAATTCCCACCAGGATTCATCTTTGTGTTTAGATAGAAACTGTGATAAAGATGTATCTTTTACAAAATCTACAAACTCATTTGCCATATCTCTGTTCCAGCAACTTGGATCTGTCTTCCGCAACTATCCAATTGTCCAGCCTCCAACAGTGATCCACACAGAGAACAAGATTGCAGATTAGGAATTCCTTCTTGTGCTAGCAAGAATAATGAATTCACTACAGATTTGTAAACCCTAATAATTTATTTATATGAGCCCAAACGAGCCTGGTCTGACCCGGTCCAATATTTAATTAACTCATTTAATTAAATTCGATCTGTGAATTAATTAATTCAATTAATTAATTTAGACCTATTAATAAGTAACTCAATTAATTAATTTATCCAACGCTTGTTAAATTAATTAATTGATAAATTACAATCTTCCAATTCTCTTTTGTGTGCGACCCATTAAGTTCCCGATCACGATGCCTAACGACGTGAAATATTATTTTGATCTAATCAAAATTAATAAATTAAAACACTCTTTTAATTTATTACTAATTCACACTCGCTGTCCCAAATTGACATCTAACAATGTGTCAGGGCAATACATGTGACGAGGAATGTCATGTGGTATGATAAAACCAAACTCGTTTGTTTACCGTGAAACTATAATCTTTTCTTCAATATGATCCGATCAATTTACGAGACATGGAAGTGTGTCAATCTAGATTACCGATCATATCTTTCACTCCACTATTAAGTTAATATAAGTCAAAAACTCCTTTTCGACTTATGAGTGCACCTTGACCAATGATTTCGTTATCGACTTAATTGAATGAAACGCAGATTATAATATCTTATTATCTAAGAGTGACGAATCATCTATTGGTCATTCACAACCTTTATACGATTCTTGCCACACCCGAACGATGCCGTATTAGCGGTCCTTGGCAGAACAACATCCAACACCGTCAAAGTATGACTGTCCTCATATAAGGTATCACGATGACCTCAAGTCAAATGACCAATTCCGCTACTGAACGTTAAAGATTAACACTCACACTCAGATAGTTATCCATGTGAAATCTCTCGGTGGGTCTCCAATGTTTTTTCTATAACAAAACATCCACGTGTTCATTTAAGTGTCACAACTTTTTAACTTATGAGATCAGCTACTTGCTTCACAAGTAAGAAATGTCACACGTGATGGTCTATCCATAATAACAATATCTGTATCTCGTTATTATTTACGACCACGGACGATTTAAGATTCAATAAATGTAATTTGTATCTCACAATCACAATTCCTTGTGATTAACAAATTACGAAGATTTGAATCTACTGACTCTTAATTGTCTATTAATTAAATAATAGATCTGTCATTAAATTGTATTAATTATATATTTAAAGTATTTATATCCAAGGTTGATTGGATTTAGGTCATAACACTTACACGTGATCAGGTAATGTGCTCCTGACATGGCTTCGAGCCAGAGGCTGCTTGCAATGCATTTGACTTTATACGCCTGATCGCCACAATCAGGTCCGGTGCTCAGAGGGTACGGCATTGGCATCTTACCTCAGTATGCATTGTGGAGGGCTGCTGATGCTCGTTCTACGTATAGAACTAGTAATAATGTTACTAGTAGAAATGTGGGAGTTTCCATTGGAGAGATGGAATGCAAAAGTTTGGTGAAAGACAATGTGGGCTTTGTCCAGTTTAATTCAGTGCATAAAAAGTGCAGTATAACTAATAAGCTAAAAATGGTGGATTTGGGAGCTTGGTTACCAATTGTTCTTCAGCTAGATAAAGAGAGAGACAGTTGGGTATATTATGTGGTGTTTGTAATGGAAATAGAATGTTTATTGACACACGAACTGTGAAGTCTAGAGAATAGTGGAACAAGTAACAATTAAATTACTTTTGAAATTGACGATGTAAATTTTATAGAGATAATTTCTTCCAAGGACGGTTGGCCCTTTTTGTGTTCTGCTAAAAAATTTGATTAAAATTCAAGTCAAAATTAATAATTAGATTTAATCACACATTTTAAGGGATTACAATTTTTCAACCATATACTCCATCAACTTTTATCTCAATTAATAATCTTATTTTTATCTAAATTAAATAGGGGCTTCATGAGAGAAAATAAAGTGTCCACTATTTTTGAATTTCTTAATGATGTAATTGTTGCTCATTACATCAAAACAGTTAATAATGTCAAAATCTACTGACATCATGGTGAAGCAGTTTGTACTTTGTACGCTAATTAAAAGGTGCAACGTTTGAATGGTATATAAACTTGCAGACATGGTCAATCAATAGAAAAGACCAACTTGAGAGTGAGTTTCTCTACATGCTTCTATAAGACTATATATACAATTATTTTGTCGACATTTGTCAAGACTAAGCAAAGCAAGAACGAGTCGATTGTACAATATAGAATGTTAGAAAATCTGTTCTTAAAACAATAAAGAACAAATGAGTGAAAGATCCTTTATTGACATGTGTGTCGAGGGCATGGCAAGTGGTATCACGCAATGTTCTATCTCTTCTTTTTTTCTTTTTTTTCTTTTTTCCTTTTTAAATATACGATTCTCCCTTTCAAATTATTCAAAATTTATTCCTTTTTGAAAAATTTGGATTATCCAGGCATTCTTATTCGTTAAAAATCACAAGTTATGATATCAATAAGCAATTAATATATCGATGAGGAGAAAATAATTCGTACGAAGACTATTTATATAATTATCGATCAAATTATGTCTAACCTATATTTTAATGATAACAAAAATCAAATTTATATGGTGATTTTTCTAAAAATATGTAGATTAAAAAAGCAAATTAATATGAATGTATTCTAAACAATTTTGATTTTTCAAACCAACGTGAAAAGTGTTAGGTTTCATGAGTTTACCGTAATTATTTTCTCAATTCTAAACAACAACTGACTCCGTATATCCGATCTAATTCCTCTAAATTAATCCTCTCAAGTCAAATCAGTTCTATTTAATTAAGTCAACTCATTATATCTCTATATAAATCAGAATTATTCATTAATTAAGTGCTTTTTTTTTAATCTCAAAAATTCAATTAAAGACCGCAAAAATAGAAAAAATTATATCTCCATCTTTAATTCATTTCTTCATTATTAGTATATGGTATAAACAAATACCTCACTTCAGCTAATCATTCCATACATTGATAATAAAAGTAAAAACGTTATACATAAACCAATTGCAACATTAAAACTTAAGAATTAAAATCGAAGTTCAAACTAGGTTTCATCTTTCATCCTAAAAACGAATTTAGTTACACACCATAATAGAAGAAAAACATAAATTGAAATTAGAATACATGATCGGATTTTTAAAGTTCTTCTGGAATTGAAGAAAACTATTTTATGTAAGAAATCCTCATTCAACCCTAAATTTGATACAAACCACATGCTTTGCCTTGTATCTTCTTCGCCCATAGAGTGTCTATTTGTGGTATATTGTGTCCCTTTTTCTTGACCTAGGCATGCTCCTTAAATAGTCTTCAATTAGCCATGAAAGCGTGACATTGAAATACTTAAAGTACCTAAAATCAAAAGATCAGGAATTTCATTTGCTTGCATGACGTGAGAGCCCGTCCCAAGCATTGGGCAAGGTGGGCGGCATCAAATAGGTCCTTAAAATATTTTCAAGAGAATCTTTACTTTTAAAGAACATATTTGGTAATTTAGAAAATATTTATAAATTTAAAGAGGGTAAAACATTTTAAGTATTTCAACAGGTTCTTTATATTTAGCACTTAATTTTACTAAATACTCCCTAGCTCTTGTTTGGTTTAGATAAAAATCATAGGAAGAAACCCTTTTTGTTGTGCTTTGGCGGTTCTAATAATTATTTGTATGCTTCTCTATTTCTAGGTTGCTTGGAGTTTGAATTTCGATGGTCAATTTCAAGATTATTTGGTAAAATTGAATTCATAGAAATCCTTGAAAATGCCGTTTGCTTTATAATGTGTTAGTTTTGGCGTTTGACACAACTACGAAAGAAATGACAGAATTTGAGTTTTGACGAAAGGAATACGAAGTGGAAGGCCCTAGAGCTTCCTATGAAAGTGCTTACTCAATTTACCTTCAATGAAGACGCAAACAGAGCTTTGGCAGTGGCCGGCGAGTAGCAGCTGTTTTTTCTTGGGTTTTGGTAAAGTTTTGCGACACGTACGTGGACCCCCTTATGTGAGGGGATTGTACGCAGAGTGTCAACTCCAGTGTACAAATATCATTTTTCGTTTTGGTAATGGGGACGGGTAGTGGGCTTTTTTTTTATTTTGGGAGAAGATAAACATTATTTTCCTTTTCCATTTCCTCATTTTTTCAAATTATTTGAATTATTTTATATGGTAATATTTTAATTACCATTTTACCCTCGTTTAATTGGTAAAAAATGGTCAGACTTTAATTTTTTAGGTCAATTGATGGCATCTTGGATGGAAACTATCCAAAATGGCCCCACTCGCAATGTTTGGAAAAGTTAGGAGGGACGATTGCAACAAATTAAAAGTTTGAAAAAAGTCTGTTTGTGTTTTAAAGGTTTGTGACTTTGCTACAATTATCCCTAAAATTATTGGTGGGGACAAATTTAATTTGGATTTAAAATAATAATTATTATTTTTTTCAAAATCATATACTAATATTTATTATTTAATTAATCAAAAGAGATGCATTACATAACTTGGATTAGACGTATATTAGTCGACAATCGTCAACTTCTTGTGTATCGAATGTTGTCTAGGTTTCCTGCCAACGGACAACTAATTTTGAGAATGATAGCATGATCAGAAACTAATCATGAATACATGTTTGATTCAATAGAATATGCTTCCTTTCACGTGATAAAACAACATGATCGATGTTGATTGATTTATCTTTCTTGGAAACATCTTATGATATTAAACAAGCACGAAAATTTTAGTTTCCAGTTACACACGAATCAAATTTTTATTTAGAAAAATGAGTACAACCTTTGTGTGCATGCATGCTGAACAATAAATTCAAATAAATTAATACATCTCTATCTTTACTTAAGTTTTTAGACGAATTATCAGTCCAATATTTATCTTGTTTTGTAAGAATGCCTAATTCAACATCAAGTCACATGGTTGAAGATATTTATGTGTGGGAGAGATAATGAATGAAAATTCAGGTGTCGGATTGAAGAAAGACCAAGTTTGATAGAGTAATCCTGTATTTAAAATGACATTTACTTTGGATATCACTAAGTGTGAGTATTTATACCAATAAGGATCAGTTGAAGTTCATTGAGTGTTTGACACGTGATTTCATCATAATAGCTCACTGATTATCATAGGTTTGTAACTATCATAGGTGTGACCATAAGCTAAAAAGTAGCCACCCTGGACCTATGGTTGTCATAAGGATGCACATACTGAAAGTCGATTGAGCGATCCTTTTGCAGAGCTGTCAAATCTGTCGAGTGTACATAATATCTTAACCTAGTCGGTATGGAAGAGTTCCATTAGAGAAGATGTTAATCGTCTCAAAAATACACCGCAGTAGGAAGTGATGCATCGTTGATTCGTTTCGGTTCGGACTAGGCATATGAGGCATGGCTCTAAGCCTCGGTGGACACATGTAGAAGAGGCGATGTCGAAGCAAAGTACTAACCTTGCTTGACCTTAGCTTCTTCTTAACTGATTATCACGTGACTGACCTCATAGGTCGAAATGTAACACCTTAAAACTTTGATTATTCTACTTTTAGTGTTCATTATGAGTTACAGCCTTACGGGAATTATTTTGCATAAATTGTACTTATATGCAAGATCCAATTCATTGAAATTGGTTTCAACTTTCCATGAATTTGTCTGACATGACAAATTCACTACAATATTGTATGTACCTAGACATTCACGTACCTATTCAATTTTTTTAAATGGAGACTGATATATTATTACAGTGACGGGCAAATGAGATCTCATCACTTTGCACAACATATTTAGACCTCGTTACTTGTATCTATCAAGACATTTAATCAATTAATTTAAAAACCAAGTCGATAATTGCAAGACAATAAAAGATTATGGGCTACCAAACAATTATGCTAGAAGATCAGTAAAAGAGATAACAAACAAATAAGAGAGTGCAAGAAATAATGATGGAAATCACGATCTCGTTAAGAAAAATTTGTTGGAAGTTAATGGAGTGGATGGAACCAGATTAGCACATACCGCATATGTAATTTAGATATTGGATTTAGCATACCGTATATACAATATACCGTATATGCAGCTTACCGTATTTGCAGCTAACTTATTGTATATGTATTTTACCGTATTTACACCGTAGCATATATGTTACTTACCGTATTTGCAGCTTACCGTATTGCTGCCTATCGTATTTGTAGCTTACCGTATATGGCAAATAGCTCACCATATTTGCACAGAATTTGCACAAACTATTTTTATTCATACAGTAACTAAAATACCACAAAATTTGCACTTACAAATAGAAATACCGTATATGTAACTTACATGTACCGAATTGCGTTTACCAACTATTAGC